GGGAGAGTGTGGCCATCAGGAAGAAGGCACATAATTGCCACCCTGGGCAGAAGCTTAGCACTTGGCTGAGACTTAGCGGTGCCCTGAACAGAATCACTGTTCCCACAGAGGGCTGGGAATCCTGCAGTAGACGCAGGGGTGAAGAACTGTGCTGACACTTGTATCTCCAGGCTGCTACCCAGCCAAGAGACAGACCCCACACGTCATAGTATTCAGAGCCCTTGACTTGGGGCCCTAAGTTCCAGCTCATCACTCCTAGGCAACTTCAAACAAACCACCTAACTGACTTTGTGTGAGATGGGGATAACCCTACTACCTACCTCCTAGGGCAGCGGCGAGGACTGAGTGAATTCATGTGCACAAAACTTTCAGGATGCTGCTATAAATTCACATCTACCGACCTGCTGGCCTTACCATAAAAGAGGGATAATAATAATTGCTGCCTCTTAGAGTCATGAGAATAGAATGACAAAGTGAAAAATAAAAGCTCTTGCAACTTGCTGTACAAACAGGGGTGAATATCCGCGTGGAATATCCCACCTATAATATTTCCTGTTTATCTAATGCAATGTTGTCCAAAGGAAATAGAATGTGAGCCACATATGCAATCTACAATTTTCTAGCAGTTGTATTAAAACAAAGTAAGAAGAAACAGGTACAATGCTTCTAACAATAAATTCCCACTTCCCAGTGTATATGTGTGTGTGTGTGTTTGTGTGTGTGTGTTTGTGTATAGGGGGTTCATGGTTTTTCAGCGGGGCAGCCAGGGAAGGGACTCTGCAGAGTGAGAGTGTCTCTGGCTTCCTACTGAGATCTACTGAGTCCTTTGGCTGCCCAAGGGTTACCAGGACCCAGCACTCCAGTGCAACCCTTTTGGACATTCTGTGTTGCAATCTGATGGGCTTTTCATGGGCCAGAGGAAAGTGGAAGTGATAGTTGCTTTTGGGGAAGAGGAAGAGGAAGGGCAGGAAAACCTCTGGAGGCTGTGGGGGGTGGAAGTAGCAGAATAACTTCCCACTGGGCTTTGGAAATGCAGCAGAGACCTTGGGCTTCCTGGAGAAGACCAGTGACGCTAGGTGTAGGTGATCAAAACTCGGAATGCAGCCTCCTGGGAGGTGGTGCTGTCCCCTGGTGCAGGACCCTCCCTAGAAGGACTCAGCCTTGGGACCCTTAGTATCACTGCCCACTCTTAGCAACCCACAGCAACAGGACCCTGCAACCCACCGACTCTAAGACCAGGAGTTCCGGCTCCCCAAATAACAGCGACATCAATAACAACACAGGCACACACAGCTCTCCTGTAGGTCTCCAACTGAACTGGACCTTTCTGTGTACACCAAACACCTGCAGCCCTCAGGGGAACCCTGGGTGAACCAAGCACCTCCCGCGCACAGGCAGGATGTGAGTGCTCAGCTGTGGTGGGGGAGCGCACAGGTGGGCAAGCGGCAGGCACTCTTGAGTTACCCCATTGGCCAGTAGAGGCAGGTAGAGGCAGCCCTGCAAACCGCACACTCCGGCTTGTCCACCCCAGAAGGACTTCCCCTGGCTCCAGACCACCCCAGGTGGCGCAGGCGCTGTGACTTGAGCCCTGCAGGGGTCCTTTCATGGCCTTTTGTAATTGAAGATTCCTAAAGTTGACTTTCCTGGATGAATAGCTCTGGTCAACCTGAGGTGGGTAGGGAAAGGGTGTTGCTTTAGGGTGAAGACCTGAAGCTGGAGATTCGGCAGTTAGAGAGGGCTGTCGGCGGAGGGGCTCTGGCCACCTCCACCCGTCAGCTTTCCTTCACAGGGCTTGGGACTCACTGCACCTCATCTCCTGCCACTTTCTCCCAGCTTCCAGCTCTCACTTCCCCCACCACCCCTTCTCTTGCGTTGAACTCACAGAGTATGCGGTGCCTTCTGTGGGTCTGGATGTATATTTGGAACCCAGACCCTAGACGCTGCTCCAGAGCCCATGGTGGCAGCATGTCCTGAGAGCCAGAAGGCCTGGGGCTTGGTGACCTGAGGCAGAGTGCAGCAGAAGCCAGGACTGGGGAGGCTGGGGCAGAGATGCTGCCGGCTGGCTTGCGAGGGCAGCCTTTACTCCGGGCAAATTTGTAGTCTTGTCACTCACCCGCAGCCAACAAGAATGGGGTTTCTAACGTTTGGGGGCTGGGGGATGGGTAGAGGAGGGAGTGGCTACCCTGGAACAGCTGCAGAGAAACTGATTTTGTGTGTGGGGGGTGCGCTTAGGGACCATCGCAGATGCTCAAAGTCTAGGGGAACAGAGTGACCGAAATGGAGACAGAGGCATGGGGACAAAGAGGAGCAAGCCTGCCTAGACAAAGCGCGGGTCCTAGAAATCCCGAGACTACGCTAGTCCAGTAGTCGCCTTCCGGAGGTTTGGAGCGCCACGGCTGGGACCTCGGGAATCCCCAGAGCCTCAAAAGACCACACTCCTGAGACTCGAGTCTCTTTCCTGGATGGTAAGGGCCCGGTAGATCCGAGAAGACATGTATGTGTGTGTGTGTGTGTGTGTGTGTGTGTGTGTGTGCGCGCGTGTGTGTTTGGGGGGGGGTACAGCCATGCCTACACTTTCTGGTGCGCACACGGAGGGGCTGCAGTGTCAGGAGCACTTTAGAGACTGCGGGTCTTTCGTAACCAGGAGGCAGGGCGCTGCCCGCTGTAGATCTGTAGATGAGCGTTCTAAGAGAACTGGTGAGTTTGTCTGTCCCAGGGCGCCCGAGGCCGGAACCACAGTCTGTATAGGGATCGCGGGTGGCCTCAAAGTGTTCTCATTTGATCTAGGTTCCGGGCGTGCGCTCACCGCACTCAAACCCAACGGGACACTTTCAGGACGGGCGTGAGTCCCCAGTGCCAAGTTTCTGCAGGGGCGGTGCAAGGTAAAACAGCCCAGCCTCTCTCTTCCTAGGCAGCCGAATCATTTCTGTGGGGACCACGCTTCTCGAAGAGGGCTGAAAACGTTCTCCAAGCAGTACAGTTGCAGAGCTAAATCTTTTAGTTCAAGTTTTAGTTAAACTAGATTCATTTTATTAAAAATAGGGGACCAAGATCACCTTCTACCCCAGCCTCCCCGATGGCGCAAGAGAAGAGAGGGTTTTCAGATTAATTGGAGTCAAATATTTTACTAACAGTTAAACGAACAGTCTGGCTTCGTCCGCAGTGGTGCGGCCCACTGGGCCCCTGCGCGGCAGCGGTCAGGCTGGTCCCAGAGGACAGCGGCCGGGAAACACTCACCCGGGGCACTCTCCTGCTTTTCATTGCGTGCCCGAAGCTGGAAAGCAGAAGGCGACGTGGGAGGCGGGTCAGGTCTCCGGGTCCAGCGAATTCGCGATTTATCCACTTTTGGCACCTGGGCCGGGATCTCGAAAAAATCTCTTATTTTTGGCTATCCTGGCCCGGGGTACGGAGGGTGTGCGGCGCCGGAGTGCCCCGTCTGAACGCCCAGCGCGCTGCGCTCCCATCTCCCCGTCTGCGCTCCAGGGAGGTTTCCGCCTGACAGCCCGGGGCCGCTCGCTGCGCGCTTCCACTTTCGGTCGTTGGGCCTTCCTCGCCCGGGACCTTTCCGCTTGGAGAAGAGCGGACCCACATCCCCGAAGGGAAGGCAGGGGCGAGGAATTTCAGCGGGCGCGACCAGAGCTGGTCTAGAGGCTAAGTCCGAAGACTGGACTAGAGGACCTGTGCGTGGCTAGAGCGGAGCTTGGCCCGGCTCCTGTACACGCACAGCCCGCCCTCTCGTCTGTCTTGGGCTGGACCAGGTAGGGAGACCCGGCTGAGTCCGAGGCGCGGTCCAAGCCTCCAGGTGAAGTGCGGGACATTTGAGGCGCCTTTGCACACAGTGGCCACTTGGGGTCGCACTTTATGCCTGTTTGAGGCTGTCGGCTGCCGGCAGACGCCTGGCTCTGCTTAATCTTTACAAAACCTTCAAACAAAAACAGGGTCCGTTCCCCAGCAGCCGAGAGCCTCCGGGGCACTGTCCTAGGCTGGCCTAGACCCCAACCCTTGGAGCGCTTGGGGTTGCGTGCGTCCGGCTGGGGGAAGGGATTCAGAGCCTCTGGGTCGATTGTTTCTCCTCTGCCTTGGTTGTGAGCGTTTGGGGGGTGGGGTGAAAGCGGGGAGCGGCGAAGCCAGCGGAGTCTTATCTCAGAGCCCGGCCACAGCACCCGCCAGGAGGGGAACGACCCCTCTTGGCCCAAGAAACGACCCGAGATTGAGAGTTGGGTCTAAACACAACTCTTGGAGCCCCAGCTCCTCCCTCCCCCAACACAAACACGCGCAGACCTCCGGAAACACAGGCACGCGCGGCTCACATTCACGCAGCCCGCAGCCGCGAGGACACAGAGCGTCGCCCACTGGGCGGGGGCCGCTGGGGAACAAAGGGCCCGGGAGGCGTCGTTCCGGCGCTCCTTCAGAGCCTCCTTGGGGGTGACACGGCTGGGGGTGGGAGTGCAAGGGGCACCGAGGGAGGAGCGCGTGCAGACGTGGTGCTGGGAACGGCAGCTTGGCCCAGAGGTGTGGCGCGCACGGGAGGCGAGCGCGCGGGGGCTCGGACCTGGAGGGTGTGGGGGTTGGGCCAGGCCGCCGGTCCCACTCCGCTCCGGTCCTCTGCCAGTGCTCGGCGGCTCCCGGGCCGCTCGGGCCGCCAGTCAGCTGACGCGGGGGGCGGGGGAGCTGTCAGGCGCGCCCCG